ATGTTGAGACATAATAATTTTACGAATTGGGAAATGAGAGATATGATAACAACTATTTTACTGTTAACGATATTTAGGATGCAACCTAATCACAAAATATTTGAAAATATATTTATAAATTTTAATGAAAAGATAAAGATAGTGATCTAAATACGAAATTATAATTTTTCATGGTTGTACCTTGGGACGGTTTTACCTTGGGACAGTTGCTCTCAAAATTCAATCACTCTAGCGGTAACTCTCGGAACTACATATTATGTTACCAACACTATCCTTTGTGATGCACATCAATACCATTCTATTTCAGTCATTGTTCCGAGGTCAAATGTCAGATTTATCGTTTTCGCGCCCTGAAAGTAAAATTTTGCTGCAACTCCCAGCTCGTATACAAACAAGGTAAGCATAATTTATTCACTTTACCCCATGTAGTACTGTCGGAGTGTTGTTTAAGCAAGAAGTCCATGCAAGAATATATTGAAAAGTAATTTAGTTTTTTAATGTTAAGAAATTCATTTTGTCAAGTGTGCTAGGTTGCACATTAGAACACTTTGCGGGTTGTACCTTGGGACGTGTCCCAAGGAACAATCTTTTGACAAAATTGATTTTTTAACATTAAAAAATAAATAACTTTTACAATAAATTGCAATTTCACCACTGTTACAGATGGGCAGAAGTGTCACAGGAAGAAAGAGAACGAAAGAAGGATGTTATCACAAACAAACTGTCTGTGCGAGAAGTGGCGAGATTATATGGTTTATCAAAAAGCACTCTTGCCTGGCACATAAAAAAATACAAGTTATCTGGTCAAACTAATTTCAAATACGAAGCCAACAATGCGACGCAAAAGGTCTTCACCGTTGAGCAAGAAAAACCTCTCATATATTTTAAAGGCTGCACACTGGAACTTTGGTTTGACCGTGGACGAAATGAAGAAATTATCTTTCCAATATGCCGAAGCAAACAAAGTCAAATATCCAGAAAAATGGAAAGAACGTGGATACGCAGGAAGACACTGGTACCGAACTTTTCGTAATTCATATAAAAACAGAATATCTCTTCAAAAACCGGAGTCTACTATACTAGCCTAGGTTGAATGGCATCTTTCAACAAACGTTCAAATATTTTTTGGGAAGCTCCAAGAAATCTTTGAAAGGTACTCCCTTCAACCTCAAAACGTGTAGAACCTTGACGAAACGGGTTTCTCTACGGTTCATACGCCGTCACATGTGCTAGGTAATATAAAAGCGAAGAAAATTGGAGCAGATACCTCTACGTGGAATAATTGTAAGGGTGATAGCTTACCTCAATGCTGCTGGACCATTTATTCCCCCAGCCATCATATTTCCTCGTGTTCATTACAAAGAATACATGAATATCAATGCACCACCCGGTACCCTTGGTATGGCAACTTCTAGTGGTTGGTCCAATGCAGAACTATTAATGAAGTACCCGAAACACTTTATTTCGGTGGTCAAGTATTCTCGTGGCAATGAAGTGTTGCTTATTATGGACAACCACGAAAGTCACCTTTCAATGGAAGCGATAAATTTGGATAAAGAAAACGGGATCGTTTTTTTTTTCACGTTTCCCCCCCACACTAGCCATAAACTCCAGCCACTAGACCGGTCTGTCTTTGGGCCTCTCAAAGGGTCTGTCTTTGGGCCTCTCAAAGCCTTTTATAACAAAGCTGCAAAGGATTGGATGATCAACTACCCCGGAAAGCTTATTTCTATTTACGAGGTCTCCACATTGTTGGGAAAAGCATTCCTCCGGCATTCACGCCAAATAACATCACCGTGAGATTTAGGGCTGCTGGCATCTGGCCCTTTAATGCAGAAGTGTTCGGAGACGATGAGGTTTTACCTGCTGAAATGACAAACAGACCATACCCCGCAGCAGAAGCAGCAGAACAGCAGCTGAAGTCCAACTGCCGGATGAAAGTGAGGAGAGGCAAAATAACAGAGAATAATCAAGAGAGATATCTTCGACAAGCAGTGCATTGAAACCATCTAAAGCTGTAACTCCGGAACAAATTCGTCCATTTCCCAGAGCACCACCAAGGAAATCTTGTGGTTGAGAAAACCTGAAAACCTGAGAGGTGTATGATTCCCATTGACACGCCAAAGAAGCAGAGAATTGAAGAGGAAAAGGTTTAGAAAGGCAAGTTATGCCCAAAGAGAGAAGCTGCTAAAAGAGCTGTAGAATTTTCATCATTCTCATCTGATGAAGAATTATTTGACCTTGGCGATAGCTCAGGAGGGAGTTGGTTCTATTCTTGTTCTGAAGATGAGGATTCCTCTAATTTCTTTCCAACTAACGAAGATCAGCTGATTTTATCCAAAGGCAGCTGGGTTCTAGTTAAATTTAAAATCGCCGGTAAAACTAAAGGAGATGTTTACTACATTAGATTAGTAGTAGAACAAGACAAATATGGACCAGATGTGACCATAAAGTTTCTCAGGAAGCAAAGAACCCATTTTGTATTCCCCAGCGTCGACGACATCAGCAATGTTAATCTGTGCAATATAGTGCAAGTATTGCCTACTCCAACAATACGTCGTGGATTTCATTTCTTTAACATTTTATTTACACAGGATCCTAATTTGAAATAAATTGTATTCAGTATGAACATATTTTTATAATAAAAAACAAATTAATTAATTATTAATCGATTATTTTGCCCACCCTGGTTGAAATATTGAAAAAATCCTAATTCAGATACAAAAAACGATATTAAATTGAAATCTTCAGGAAAAATTAAACTTTGTAAGGGGATAAAGCCAATTTATTCTGAAAAAAAAAAACTAAATAAAAATAAAGGGTTAAAGGGGATTGAAACATTAAAAAAATTCTATCTTAAAAACAAAAAACAATATCAACTTGAAATTTTTAACAAAAATCAAGCTCTATATGGGGACAAAGCGTATGATTTAAATAAAAATTGTGAACAAAATGGTGATTTAACCCTTAAGGAGGGTTGAAATAACAAAAAAAAATTAGAAATCAAACACCAGAAGCGATATCAACATGAAATCTTCAAGAAAAATCAACTGTGAAGAGTATAATATAGAATGCCAAGCATTATATATCTTCATTCTAGTTATTATTTGCCATGGCACTTCGAGGAATCTTGCAGATGTGTCGTTTGATTTATAGGAGGAGGAAACCTCAGAAAAACGTCACCCATAACCAGAATAAATAAATAAATAATTCACGTGAAAGCTAACCATACTAATAAACAAATACAATTTAATTTTTGTTTGACCTTTAAAAGTCAGAGTACTTCGTATGTTTCATTATTTTGTCGAATTTCCGAAGTCCCACCCCTAAATTAAATACAAACTGACACTTTAAAAGACATGCGTGAATTTTTCCAAGGCCTACTCTAGAAACATTTTTTGTGGATCACTCCTTGTAATGAGTAATCAGTATCAGATATTTGTTGGTTGATTCATTTTTTATTTTTCTATCTCTCCTCGTAGCTGTTCTGTAAATCTATTTACTTTGTTTTTGTTCTCTATCTCAAAATTGATATAACCTAATTTTACGTATTGGATATAATTGTGTCTGTTTTATGTACAAGGCGTATAAGGTTCAAAATTAAACGAGATATATAATCCTGATTTTCTATAGATAGTAGCAGAACTTAATCTGTATTCTTGTTAGAAGTCATCGGAGACCAGATATCAGCAGAAAGTCTTGGGTCTGCTGTCCCAAAGCGCCTGTATGCAGCATTGCAATATCAGATTTCAACTTTTCTGATTATGTTCCGTCTGCGTCCAATAGTTTATTTCCCACAAGAATTTACAAAAGACAAGCACATTAAAAAAAATTCAATGCAATTATTTTGAATTATGAGCATATTATATGTATAGGTACTTTTGTAATTTTCGGTTAATAGTGTATGACCCAGCTAAATTCAATTTTGACATATTTACTAAAATCACATATTATTATGAATGGTTTTATCTTTTTGGAGGTGGTTGAAAGTAAAAAGCAAAATAATTCATAATTCATAACTCAAATATGACCAAGAAGTAATATAAAAAAAAATCCCAAGCCACGTGTTACAATACGAATGACCGTTTGCATCCGGAAAACAACTACTCCTTTGGCTAATACCACAACAATCACTGGATTATATCCAAAGAAAAACAACAAAGATAAAAAATATTTTCAACACTCTAGCTTTAATTTTGCTTACCAAGGAGAACGTTTTATCAGCAGGAAATAGACATTCTCGCTTTTATTCTCTAATCGAAGCGTAGAAGGCGTAAAATTAATTTGTACACCTTGATGTTGGTTGAGTGAAATTAAAAAGTCAAAAATTAGCGTCATCAACACTTATTTAACTAAAATAATTCTAAACTCAAAAGCTACCAAGAGATAAAATGAAAATGTAATACCAAGTTTTTTTACAAGCTTTGATTTTGCTTTCAAAGTAGGTATATATGTCGCTGGCTTTTGACTTTTTTATTTCACTTAACCAATGTCAAGTTATTTAGTTGAATTTTACGCCTTTTACAGCATGGAGGCATGTACAGCTTTCATTGGAGATTGGAACGAGAATGTATGTTTTTTACTGATGAAACTGGTCCAAGAATTACGTTCTTCTTATTAGTAAGCAAAGTTAAAGCTAGAGTGTTGAAAATGCTAGAGGATAAAAAATCATTTTCAATCTTTACTGTTTTTCTTTAGGTATAATCTAATGCATCTTGTGGGTAGTTGTTTTCCGGAGGGAAACAGTCGCTCGTTATTATTAGTCATTATTTTGTGACAGATATCTTGGAGATTTTTATTGTTTCTTTTATTTTATAGATAAAGTTGTGCACCTAAAAACTGGGATTCCTATTAACTTTTAATTATATCACTGTTTCCTATATTATGGACCATCAATCAACTGTTTACACAAAAAAAAACCAACCAAATTTATCTCAAACATTTTTGGGTAAACAAACAACAGTAGGTACATTGGAACAAATTCGTTTTTTTTTTTGCAGATATGGAGAGAATACGATACAGACGGAAGCGGATACATCGAAGCAGATGAATTGAAAGTAAGTTTTTTAATTCAAATACATTTTCAAAGAGCTAAATTTTTTCCTTTGTTAGAATTTCCTTCGAGATCTTTTAAAAGAAGCGAAAAGAATGAACGACGTCTCGGAAGACAAACTGATCGAATATACGGACACAATGGTGAGTAAATATTTGTTGAGGGTTCCCAGTGGCGCACCTAAGAATAAATCGAAAATAAAATTACATTCCTTTAGTAAACACTAAGAATTGATAAACAGGGTGTAACAACCGATTAGCCTAAAGAACCAACGTTTGTCAACAGTGTAACAACTGTCTAACCACAGTTCTCAATATACTATTAAGGGATAAAAGATGTACTGTCATCAATCAAAGGGTCCTGGAGTTTTGAAGGGATATCCATTCACCAGTGGCAAAAACAATAATAAACAAAATAGAATAATCATTTAATAGCATAATCTGGTGGTTTTGGCAACTGGTTAAAGACTCTACTAGTCCTTAGGGGTAGAAACACCAGGGCTTCACAAATGCTCGGAATATTTCATAACTGATTTTGGAAAGGGGGACGAGAAAAATAATAAGTGACTAAACAGTAACAGTATTTAAAATATTTACAGAATGACTATTAGTGTCAAAAATAAATTAAAAACAATTTTATGTAGGGAATAGGCAAACTTCACTTGCTATGTTTTATTCACTCTTTGATAATATTGCCCAAACTGTTTTTGATAAAAGACCTAATTGATAATTAAACGTAATACGCAACATTCTGACATCATTCACTTCCTATTAAATTATACAGTTGGACTTATTTAACTGTATTATTACTGAAAAATGTAACTATATACGATAAATATAAGATATATAAACGTGGAACGAAAATATAAAAAATGGTATTTATATGGAAATCAATTAATTGTCTCAAAACAAAACCAAATAACACTTTTAAAACAAGATATTAAAATAATTCTGGCACACAAATCGCTGGACAAAACTTTACACATTAAGGTGCTTGGAGAACTAGGGTTCCAAAGCAAGAGTTTCGGCCAGCAGCCCTTACTCAAGTCTCATTTGTCAACTATCGACAGTCTGTTTAAACAAAAAATTTATTAATATCCACACCGAGGGTTTTAAAACAAAACAAGGATCTGGATGTTAAATATACTCCAAATCCTTAAACCTAAACATAAAATGGGCTGTGAGCATAGGGCCAGTGTAGTTCAAATCGAGCTAATGGTTCTCATAGCAGCAAAAGAAATCACTAGAAACAATATCACTGGAATAAACATGCTCATCTATACATATAGCAGACAAGCACCACTCACCCTGAACAGACTACGAATTTACTCAGGCCACTCAGGGTTAGTACCAGAATATCACGAAGCTTTGGCCGAAGTATCCATCAACAATGTGGTCATCTTAAAATGGATCAAAGGTCACGCCATCGAAAGGTAACCGTCTTGCTAATTCTCTAGCCAAGAAGGCAATCAACCAAATACTTGTTGAACCTGTCCCTTCTATTGGACAAACAACATCGGTAAGATTGCCTGACGCTCTCATTTATTGGAATATTTCTATTCGGCGAGTATCGGCTAACACCAGCCGATATAAGAAAAGCTCTTCTTGGCGATGTTGTCAACTACATTAAATCTGTAGGCTGGCCTACGAGCTAGGAAGCGCCAATCTAATTAGCAGAATGCACAATGAGGTCTAAGTGATGTGGGGGGGTAACCCACGCTATACACGTTTTAGATACAGATGCAGAAACCAAAATTTACCTGACAGGTTAATTTTTATCAACGTATTACCTTGGATAATTATTTAGTTCAATGTAAAGCCATTGACTGGAGTAATAACCTTATTGTTTGGTTTATTTTAATAAGTTGTTTTTCGATTTGAATATTTAGTTATAACATTTAATACCTTTTAAAATTTTTGTGTAATTCTTTATATTTTACTTGCCAATTATTACAAGGGTGTGTTATTGAAATACACGTACATATTAAATTGCATCTTCAGAGCAAAAACATAATTTTGGAAAAATAGCTATACCTACCTATAGCTAAATTTTGAAAATGTACCTATCTTAAATCAGGCATAACCTAGTGAAATTAGCATAGGTCATGTGCAAATCAGATCGCCAACTCTGATTGTGGATTTTATTTTGTGCACTAATATCACACTTGACACTATATTCGAACTGCGCATGTCTGCCGGTTGTTCGCAATTACTGTGTTTCCCATGTAAACAAAGTATACATCTGTACTGCACAAAGTTCATTTTTCGTATTAAGAGTTTTTTGTGTAAAAAAAAAATGTTATGAACTGTTATTTTGTATGAAATTTGTTTCTAAATTATATTAATAAACACAATGATATTAATGACCACATATTTGTCAGTTACACTGCATCTGGAAGTCAGTGTTGAGGTGTAGATTCGGGGTAAGTTGTTTTTTAAATAAAACAGCTACACTTGTTGACACTCAAATATATGAAGCTACAGACACCAAATAAAATATGATTTGAATTAGTTATAATCGGACAGTCAACAAGCTACCCTGCATATGGAAGTCAGTATAGAAGTGTAAAATCAGTTTAAGTTTGTTTTCAAATAAAACAGCTACACTTTGTCTACACTCAAATATATGAAGTTACACAGAACAAATCAAATGAGCTTTCAATAAGTCATAATCGGGAAGTCAACAAGTACCGTTGCTTACGATGTTGCCAAATAATATTGTTTACAATTTTCGTGCATGTTGTATAATAAACTAACGGATATGTGAGGCGGGTCTAGGAAAATTGACCACCCGCAATTGACCGCCAGCAATTGACCGCTAGCAGTTTACCGCCGTAGCAATTGATCGCCTAAGCAATTTATAGCCTACAATTGACCGCCAGCATATTGACCGCCATATAATACATATAATCATTTATATACATTTATTGGTCATTATAATTTAAAATATGTTTTTTTTTAAGGTATTGTTTAAAAATTAAGTATTTATAGTTAAAAATGGAAGTTACTTATATGCTAAGTATCTTGAATGGGTCTAAATAAAATTAAATTCAACTGCAATTAATCGTATAAGCAATTTATCGCAAGCATTTTTTATCGCCAGGAAATAACATTGGTCTTTTTAAAATGAATTAAGAGTTTTTTAACTTGAAATTGAAATTTATTAATGTATACTTTTTTAACATGAAAATAGTAATAATTATCATATTTATTAAATAATTTTTTTAAAGGTGAGAATTTTATAAGAAAAGTAAAAAAATGTTCTGCTTATTTATACTCGTTGTAACTTCTACTGTCCCCACATGGCCAACCCCATGTTTTTTACAATGGAACACCCAGTATATTATCGCATTTTTGCTCTATTATTCGATTTCAAAAATGTATACCTGAGATGTAAAGTGAATCTTTTGGAAGTTGCGTTTTTAGATCTTTTTACATTATTTTTAACTTATTTTTATATTTTTCATAAAAGCCTCACTTTTAGATTATTTAGGGATTAATATATTTTCAGTATATTTTGAAATTTGAAGCTCATTATACCCTTTTTTTCGGAAACTGGAATTGAAATTTAAAAAAATATACTAGGCAGATTATTAATTTTATTGAATATAAGTTTCAAAAAAATAGAAGAGAATCCATTACTACAAAATATTATACAATATAGCACAGTATGTGAACTATTAATAAGAAATATTATGTGCTATACCTCTTAAATAATTAACAATATCACACCGCTCATCGTATGTGCTAACTAGCCTTTTAATGCGTTCATCACAATCGCGATACTTCTTTGTTTTTCCGGACCACTTCCACTTAAATATTGTTCAATACGCATTTCATTAACACTTTGTTCTTTTTTAATGCAATATTAAATTTCCAAATATTAGGATGATGTGCAGCGACTTGTTCCTCAAAACGTCTATGCCACCCTTCGACAGAATTATTAGTTCTTGGCAATCCTTGAAGAACAAGCTGATGCACATTCCACACTTCATGTGAGTTTTTCGGTGACCGACGAAGATGTCTTCTTGTTGGACGTACAATCCACGTATCCTCAAAATAATCAAGAACTTCTTGTGATTCTGGAGGAAAAACACCATTTTCACACAAATGTTCAAAAACGTGTGTCAGTGTGGGAATACAAATGCAATGGCTGTCAACATTCACATATTCAAATAAAACGTAGCATCTGTCTCGTAACGTTGTTTCAATCCATTGTTCTGAATGGAACGAAAAATACACTGCGAAAAGTGAAAAAACAACCTTGTTGCGAAGCGTCAGGAAACACTGTTCTACAAGCATTCATCATAGCCATCTTAAAATCTATAGTTATTGATTTCGGCGACAAAGTCGGTTCCAGCACTTTCAGCTGCCGTAATAAAGATACATATGTTTCCTCACACTTGTTAGGTAATAATGCATAAACTAATGGAAGTGATATTTTGTCCTTGAATCCGTGTATCGTATACAACTGGTAAAAAAGTAAAGGAACAGTATTAAAAGTCCCATCGGCATACCAGTGTTCACTTCGCGCTAACAAGTTCAAATTTCCTTTTGTACTGAAAATTAACAAACGATTATCTTCAAGCCCAGAATCAAATTGAAGAAACAATTCTCCATTGAATGTTGCTTTATATTCTTCATTAAAACCTATATCTCTTCGATGCGTTGGGAGAGCTGGTCCTTCAAAATTTCGATTTCTTATATTTCTTATAGTTCGCTTCATTGCGTCTACGTTTGGAAGCTTTGGGGCCGCTGCTTGGCTACAAGTTCTTAAAATATTTGAAACAATAGTATGAGGCGTATTATTTGTTGTTTCTGCACATATGCAAGTATTATCCAGAATTTTTGCTGCATCTCCACAATGATTATGCTCCTTCCATGTTTTAATGATTGTGTCATCTACCGTTGTAACTCGAGCAGCACATTTGGTTTTACGGTGATTATGACACCTCCAATGAATTTTCGCTGCATTTTGCTTGTCTTTATAAAACAAATGTCCACTAAAGCACAATTTCGCTTTACATGAAAAATCTGCAATGGTCAAATTTCATTAACGTAAGGGGACCTGCCTAATTGGTGAGTCAAACCACGCTCACTGACCAATAACCACTGCAGAAGCAGAATTAATCAATCATTAAAGTACCCTATTTTTCTATATAATTAAAGTAATTTATAATGTTTTTATGTATCCTGTTATTTGTATGTTCTAAGAATCTTTCCTTTATCTGTTTTGAATCAATAAAGGTAAGTACCTATTGAAAAGTAGGTACAAAATATAATTTATAATTTTAAGACGTTAACATTGCATTAAGTACAATAATGCAAAAAAAATAATGTACTAGATATTTATTAAAAGCAGTACTTAGGTACCTCGTTCAAAAATACCAAGAATAGGTTACCTACCAAAAATCGCAGGTTAGCATAACTCCTTCTTTTGGGCAGACTTTTATGTGGTGTTTATGACAGTAATTATTTAATAAGAATTAAATTTAAAAAAAAATCTTGCACAAACGGAATTTCCTACGTGTGATTTTTTCACCATATGGCAGTTGAATTTAATTTTATTTAGACCCACCCATGACCAATAAATGTATATACAAGCAAATGATTATATGTATTATATGGCGATAAATGTGCTGGCGGTCAATTGTAGGCTATAAAATGCTTAGGCGATCAATTGCTACGGCGGTAAATTGCTAGTGGTCAATTGTTGGCGGTCAATTGCTGGCGGTCAATTGCGGGCGATCAATAATTGCTGGCGGTCAATTGCGGGCGATCAATTTTCAGGATCCCATGTGAGGCTATAGACCAACAAACTGAAATAGGGGTAAAATGCCAATGTGCATGTTTTGTCAATAGGACTAGATGTGACTCTGTGGGCGCAGCCATTTTTATTGTTTTTCTCTCTCGGGAGTATTTCTAATAACCATTTTCTGTTTCACATTGTTATTGACTGGTCCACAATCTGCTAAATCAGAATTGTTTGAGTGAAAAAGAAAGTGTTTATTATAATTACTCCTGATTGAGATGAAAAATAAATGGTTGCGACTATAAATTGACATCTCATTCCTATTTACATGCATCCTTTCCCACTCTTGTTCATTGCTATATACTCTTACAGCAGAAAATGCTCTTCATAATATTATCAGTGTAATAAGTGTACAAATAGACCGTCAGATAGTGACCGATTTAGATGCCCCATTTTCGCATACAATTGTACGTTGAAAAGTACATCGATGCTGAGTAGAATAAAAGAAAATTTACGAGTGGCTCTTGGGGATAACACATGGAAAATTCGATTTTCCTTATCAGAAAAATTTTCCGACTCCAAAATGCACTTATACATTCGGGTCATTCAAGAAAATATGTTTTCGGACTAGTGACGATGTACGTTTTCATACATTCGATGGGCTTGTGTGGAGAAATTTGGTAAATCTCGATTTTTCCTTAAAAGATTACGCCCTTATTTCAACCCTTTAGCCACTTGCAACATTAAAGCCTTTGATTTTCCGAAGCCTAGTTCTATTAATTAATAATATAGTGAAAACGGCTTGCGTGGAAATATGGGCAACAAATAACCTTTCATTTTTGTTAGGAAAAATCGAATTTTCCATGTGTTATCGATGTACTTTTCAACCCTGTTTGAGGCTTGTATGCGAAAATGGGGAGCCTAAACCTGTCACTATCTGACGGTCTAAAACTAAACTACAACATTTGTAAATAAGCGAGGTTACGTGTTTAAAGTAGTACACAATGATTATATCGTCTAATAAAAACAATTTTTATCTTCTAAAAATTCAAAGAATGAGTAATTGCTGTTTTAGGTAAAAACTTTTTTAATTTTTTAAAACATTTATTGTGTTATTTTGCACAGAAGCATGAAAGTTATTAAAAAGTCTTATTCCTGCGTGCAATGAACAGTTTACATACAAAGTAGGTTTATGAATACATTGCTTTTTATCATTTGTCCATGTCCACTACAATATTTACGGCACTCCTCTACTGTCTCTATTTGATTATTTCTCCGAATATACATTAAAAATTTTAAAATATAAATGGACGCCACTGTCAGTATGTTTTCCGAGCTAAAATTATTTCTACAAGTTGTATTGGTGGAATTCGAATATTCAGCGCTTTTGAGCAATAAAAACTCTATTTACCAGGGTTGTACCATGTCCCCATAGTATGATATATTGAATGTGTGAATAGGCCACAAGAATAAATTATTCTTGTGAATAGGCTAGAGGCTAGAGCATAAAAAAATATTCAATAAAGCTGAGTGTGAAAATTATTTTTTAATGTACTCAATGCAAAATAGGCACTGCTTAATCAATATACCCATTGACAAGAAAATTCTTTGAATAAGAACTGTTTCTAAACTGGACCGTATTGGAGAAATTTTGGGAAAAGTGCAAAATTTTTATTTTCTTAATATTTTTGTTGGCAACGAAGATAAGTATAAAATGTTTCGAATAAAATGAGTATGGAAAATTTTTATCTCTAATTTATATTTATCTGAAACACTTTTTGATTAGATCAACCGTGCTAAATATATTTGATAACTTTACTGGACAGTCAAATATTTATGTATGTATTTATTGGTAAAACACTAAGAAAATTTACCCGTTTATTTTCATTATTTGAAATGTTGGAGCTAACGTCTTTGTTTAAGTTTTTAATAAGTAGTTTCTTAACAAAAAATCAATTACGATTTGAAGTCACTACAGTTTTTTAGAAGATAACCGAAAATCATAGTTAATTCAAAATTTTTAGTAGGAACCCGAGAAGGAAACACTTTTTTATTAAAAAATTTGAATTTCTGTTATAAATGATAAATACTCTCAAATACTAAATTTATCTAAAAGCATCGTGAATCCCTAAGGGCTCGTAAGCTTTATAAAAGGGATTCGCCAAACAAATATTGTAATGGCGGAATTTTAAGCAGGTAACATCGCAACAACTTGCCAACGTGTCTTCCAACGTTGCCAAATTGGACCGTTTCCTCGCTTTTGTCGAGGTATTGAGCTGTGCCACAAGTTTCACACATCGTGTGGAATTGGTTACTTTCTGAACTTGTTGCACAATATAATACTATTACGTTTTTTCCAAATTAACTAATTTGTACGAATTATTTAGTTAAATAGGTATGTCCTTAAAATATAATATTGCCTTTCTTAATTAGTACTAAAGATTATACGACATGTTATTCGATGGACCAAACAGTGTGGAATAATATTTCCACACTAATTAGAGATGTGTACGGAATTACCTACTTTTACGCTTAAAAAACAATTCGGAATATGTGATTTTCTGCAGTGGTCGTCGAAATAGATATTTTTTGCTTAATAATAATGATTGAAGCAGATTTGTATGTAAGACAGGAAAAAATAATTTATACTTAACATGATTTAATGTAAAAAGTTCGCAAGAAAAAATTTCAAGGAACTTGTTCTTTGTATTTCCTTTTTTATGAGTACATAAATAGGCAAAATTAAAAAAACAACATAAAAAAATAGAATGAATATTAGAAATATTGTAAAAATGTGTATGAACTGGGTGTCACTGGGACAAATTAGTTTGACTGAACTACGGAGAGAAAATTAATTTTACTATTTCCTTTCCAGTTACAAGTTTTTGACTTCAACAAAGACGGCCGGCTACAACTATCTGAGATGGCAAAGTAAATACATAATACTTGGTGTTGTACGTTATATTTTTTCACATTCTTTATGCTTGATTCCTGTGTAGTTGCTTGGATGTTTCGCAAAATTAATTTCTTTTTTCTGTGTTTGCTTGCTCATTATATTGTAAGAAGCTTTTATTGAGAATAGTAAAATATGACGATAGAAAAGTTACTTTAGTTTTTTTAGATACTTTAACTAAAAAAAAAATACATGTAGCACTCGGGGACTGCCGCGGTAAAGCTATTGCATAGCATTTTTTATCAACTTATGCAATTATAATTATTTATTTTATTTATGCAGATTTTTTTTTTCTTTGATATTCAAACTTTTTTTTGATAATAATTCAAGTTACACTTTTTGAGCGTGGTGACCGATAAGAAAATAAATTTTTTTCTTTTATTGAATAAATGAGAAGTTAATATTGTTTAAAATATTTTTATTATTTCACAATACATATAGGTTATTCAGGAATTTTTAACATTGAAACTATATAGAGCAAGAGCCCGTGAGAGCCAGACCTTCGGAATTTTATAAAAGCTGAGAGTTCTTCTGTGTATGTCCCCAATACAGGTAAGAATGATCGCCGCCCATGAAAAAATATTACTAAATAATTCAGAATAAACAACAGTAGATGCGCAGTAGAAGATCGCAATAGACTGCACGCTCTATTTCACTCACACCCTTTGCTGCATATGCTCCTCTCACTCATAATTATTGTACACATTTAATACGTCTGGCAGGACGATATAACCCTCGAAATTGTCTGGCTATTAAGGAAACATTATTTAATAGTTGTCCAAATAATATATGTATAAAATTTAGTTTTTATAATATAACGTAAGTATAGTTACAAATTATAATAGTTCAGGGGTGTCTGGCAGAGGGTTGTAACCATATCAAGTGTCTGGCAATGAGCAACGCGAGTTTTAATATTATTACGAATAAAATATAAAAAAAATGAGTTTTATAAATTAATAAATTTGAGGTGGAATTTTATGCACCTTTGCTACCTGTTACCTGCCAAAGCCACCACTACTCAGGTTTCATGGGCTGGGATCATTCTTACCTGTATTGGGGACATACACAGAAGAACTCTCAGCTTTTATAAAATTCCGAAGGTCTGGCTCTCACGGGCTCTTGGACTAATAGGTTTATGGCAACTGAAATAAGAAACATAAGTTTGAGACTTGATATCCTCTAAATATCTGGAAAATACCGCGTCAATGGTAGTCCCATATTTTGTTGTGGATTCTTGTGGATCATTATTTATTTTTAAATTCAATTTTTCCGAAATTGTGTCTAAAAGAGATAGAATCAGTTATGAGCAGTTAGCAGCTAGTCTACACGCATACGCTTTCAACGCCGCACTGCTGTGCCAGTCAGAGTGAGGGGTGTTAGATTTATTTTCGTTACGATTTTTCGATTTTTGATTTTTCGATTTTTCGATTTTTTTGATTTTTTTGATTTTTCGATTTTTTGATTTTTCGTTTTTTCGATTTTTCGATTTTTTGATTTTCGATTTTCGATTTTCGATTTTCGATTTTCGATTTTCGATTTTCGATTTTCGATTTTCGATTTTCGATTTTCGATTTTCGATTTTCGATTTTCGATTTTCGATTTTCGATTTTCGATTTTCGATTTTCGATTTTCGATTTTCGATTTTCGATTTTCGATTTTCGATTTTCGATTTTCGATTTTCGATTTTCGATTTTTCGATTTTTAGAATTTTTGATTTTTTGATTTTTTGATTTTTTGATTTTTCGTTTTTTCGATTTTCGATTTTCGATTTTCGATTTTCGATTTTCGATTTTCGATTTTCGATTTTCGATTTTCGATTATCGATTTTCGATTTTCGATTTTTAGAATTTTCGATTTTTTGATTTTTTGATTTTTCGTTTTTTCGATTTTCGATTTTCGATTTTCGATTTTCGATTTTCGATTTTCGATTTTCGATTTTCGATTTTCGATTTTCGATTTTCGATTTTCGATTTTCGATTTTCGATTTTCGATTTTCGATTTTCGATTTTTTGATTTTTCGATTTTTCGATTTTCTTTTATTGAATAAATTAATATTGTTTAACGCCGCACCGCTGTGCCGGTCGGAGTGGGGGGTGTTAGGTTTTTTTCGTTCCTGGAACACTTGGTGATTGGGAAAAATAATGCACTGGGAATCATTGAACATTCTATATTATCAAAAGGGTCGGTAAGAAGTTAGTGACAAGTGGCAACACTGCCAAAACATGCCGGTCTTGCAGGCAAACGATTTATGTTATCTTTTACAATTATTCAATAGAGAGGAAAGGGGAAATAAAAAAAAAGAACCTGTGCAGGCTCTGCACCTGTAGGTGGGCTTCCTGCTTACAACTAGCACTTTTTACACTGATTTGCTGACATACGCACTAAGGCGGGAAACCCACACTCACTCGATGTAGAGAATTTACGTAGTTTCTTAATGTCGCGACTCGCGGGCCGATAATCCCGGGTCGAGTCCGTTAAGGGTGTGTTGCAAAGGCACTACTTTCCGCGTATGCAATAAATGCAGACTTTTTCTGCTCGAGCAGGGGAGGCGCGTTTCATCACAGAGTGTTAGAAATCTACTCTCGTCTTTTCACGTTGAGTGTTAGAGACGCACTGGCTCTATTCCCGCGCCGACACGCCTTAAACCCTTTCGTTTGGCCAATAAGGGAGCTTGATTATGGAGGGATTATCTAATTATTCTTATTTATTATTATTTATGTGAGTTGTTTATTATTTTAACTATTAGAATTATTTATTAGGGCTTGTGCATTGTTATTGTTTATTTTTAGGCGTTGGTTTTGTATTATTTATGAAATAATAGTGTATGACGTGTTCAGCCTTCGGCTGTTTCCGTTGTATATATTTCTTGTGGGTTGTCAAACGTGCTGTTTGACATAGCGGTTTGAATTCAAATTCAAACAATGTCATTGATTGCGTCTATGAACCAAATATCATGCTTACTTATTTTTCTACGGCTGTTTGTTTATTAAGAAATGAGATAAATTTCCTTATTTGATAATTCGAATGGCAAAAAGTAGTCATTCGCTAATTTCGAATACTTTAATAAAATAATGTATAACATGAAATGTCAAACATAAATTAATTATCTAAAAGACAGCTAACATTTAAATTTTTTTAAATAAGAAAAGACTAATTGAAAATGGATAGCAGCATGTTATAGCTGTAGAAAAACTATAGTGTTCAACTCACAATATACTATCTGACCGAAAACACGGCTAAAATATGTTATTTTTAGACTACGACATTTTTACTAGATCAACTTTTTACTTTCCTATCTGTATACAGATATAAGGAAAGTATAGGAATCATGATTTTTTTCGACCTCGAGTTTTCGACGGATTTTTACGTTTTGAGGTCCCCTGAATCCGTTTTGACTATTTTCGCGATGATGTCTGTGTGTGTGTGTGTGTGTGTGTGTGTGTGTGTGTGTCTGTGTGTGTGTGTGTGTGTGTGTGTGTGTGTCTGTGTGTGTGTGTGTGTGTGTGTGTGTGTGTGTGTGTGTGTGTGTGTGTGTGTGTGTGTGTGTGTCTGTATAACGCATAACTCATGAACCGATACATAGAAAAACACCAAATTTTAAACTTAAGCTTTGTTTCAACGTCCAATGAGCTGATTAGATTTTGGGCAGAGTCGGAACATCTGGGGGGGGTACTTTATAGGTGGTCATTTTTATATTTTATGAAATATATCTGTTATTTACGTTTGGAGAAGAAAATTCTTCAAATAAAAGTTACTTCTTATATAATTATCTATAATTTTTGTTTTATACAAAATTTTGCTAAAATGGTCCGTATTCGAGAAATTTGACAAAATGTAAAAAAAATAATTTTTTATGAAAATTGTTCAAATAAAAGTTGTTTGTAATATAATTCTCTATAATTTTTATTCCATAATAATTTCTTTAAAATAGACCGTATTCGAGATATTTGAGAAAATGTGTAAATTTCGAATTTTGAAGAAAACTCAAAAACGGATTAAGAAAATAACATTAAATTTTAAACTTAAGGTTTATTTCGGCCTGACGTGAAATGATTAGATTTTGGACAAAGTCGGAACATCTAGGGGGGTACTTTATGGGAGGCCGTTTTTATATTTTATGGAATATATCCGTTATTTATGTTTGGACAAGAAAATTGTTTAAATAAAAGTTACTTATAATATTATTATCTATAATTTTTGTACTATACAAAATTTTCCTAAAATGATCCGTATTCGAGAAATTTGACAAAATGTAAAAAAAATATTTTTTTATAAAAATTGTTCAAATAAAAGTTGTTTGTAATATAATTCTCTATAATTTTTATTCTATACATAATTTCTCTTAAATGGACCGTATTCGAGATATTTGAGAAAAAGTGTAAATTTCGAATTTTGAAGAAAACTCAAAAACGGATTAAGAAAATAACATTAAATTTTAAACTTAAGGTTTATTTCGGCCTGACGTGAAATGATTAGATTTTGGACAAAGTCGGAACATCTAGGGGGGGTACTTTATGGGAGGCCGTTTTTATATTTTATGGAATATATCCGTTATTTATGTTTGGAGAAGAAAATTGTTTAAATAAAAGTTACTTATAATATTATTATCTATAATTTTTGTACTATACAAAATTTTCCTAAAATGGCCCGTATTCGAGAAATTTGACAAAATGTAAAAAAAATATTTTTTTATAAAAATTGTTTAAATAAAAGTTGTTTGTAATATAATTCTCTAAATTTTTATTCTATACATAATTTCTCTAAAATGGACCGTATTTGAGATATTTGAGAAAATGTGTAAATTTAGAATTTTGAAGAAAACTAAAAAACGGATAAAGAAAAAAACATTAAATTTTAAACTTAAGGTTTATTTCGGCCTGAAGTGAAATGATTAGATTTTGGACAAAGTCGGAACATCTAGGGGGGTACTTTATGGGAGGCCGTTTTTATATTTTATGGAATATATCCGTTATTTATG